CAACACCGCCAGCAATTGACGGCCAACAAGCTCATCAAAACCCTCCGCACACGCAAACACGAACACTTCTATTCTAGCTCCGCCTCCTCCCCCCGTTCCTCAAGAAACATCGGGCAGGTGACTAGACAGCCAGTCAAGCCCCTCAAAAAGCCCGTCACCCGTGTGCGCGCAGCAACCCTGAACAAACCACTGACGGCCACGCATCGCTGCCCCCAGTCCGGTCGTGCTATGGTCGCGGAAGCCCAACTGCTCCACCAGCTCCGCTGGGGTCAGACGGTGCGGCAGATCCTGTTTATTGCACAGCACGAGGACAGTCGCTCCCACCAGTAGTGGCTCCTGCAAAAGCTTCTCCAGTTCCTGTCGTGCCTCCCAGACCCGATCCCTGTCGTTGCTGTCAATGACAAAAATGATTGCGTTTGCCCCCTCGTAGTAGTGCTTCCAAAGAGAACGCAGAAGCTTTTGACCACCTACGTCCCAGAGATGGAACTTTATATTTTTGTACTCCACCGTCTGCACATTAAAGCCCAGCGTCGGGACAGTCTGCTGCACCTCGTTCAGCTTCAGCTTCCAAAGGATGGTTGTCTTTCCCGCGGCGTCAAGACCCACCATCAAGATGGTCGCATCCTTCTTGGCGAAGAGGCCATCAAACCAGCTCATGACCGCACCCATTGATGATTTCGCGTCTCTTCCGTTTCTACCGTGTAATGCCTTATCGCTCTTTTGCTGCCGCAGAAGGCGCTACCAAGTAGGGGTTGGCGTGGAAAAGTATCCTCTCTTCCCCTGATCAAGCAATGCTGACTTTGCCACGGCGCCTGGACTTCCCGAGAAATCCTCCTATTCAAATTGTTTCCTTTCCAACCCTTGTGTCTGCTTGTTTCCCTCTCTCACCTTTTATATATGGATGTATAACTATTAACGTAGTTTGTTAGATATGCGTCTTCTTGTGTATTAAGCCCAAAGACAACAAGGCAATCCGCAGTTTATTATTGTTTCCTCTTCCCACTAATCCACCACCCCTCTCCCAGCCCTGTTTGTTTCAGGTTGAAAAATGAGGCAGTCACTAATGACACAAAACTTAACGAGGCTTTAGAGGCCTCACTGCGATTGTTCCCTTCTTCTGTGCACTCCTATTATTCTTTGCACGTTTGTTTGTTTACCTTTTGGTAGCACACAACAGGCAAAAGCAATTGAGAGTACATTTTTTATCAAAAACAAGATATATATATATAATAACATAACATAACATCAAACAACACGCGCACCGTACAAAAATTACTTCTCGCGTTAGTGGCGAATCGGAAATGTACCTTGCTGTTACTTTTAAACGCATCACTCGTGCAGTTTGTTTTGTTTGTTTTGGTTTCGCTGCGGTGGAATGAAAGAACATGGAAGGTCAAAGTCCGTTCGGTCCAAAAAGTCCGTCCCTTTATTATTCGTGACTGGCTGTAACCCGCTTCTTCGCAGCCCTACTGCCGGATTTCACTAAGCGTGTGGATATTGCATTGGACAGCCGCTTCGCCTTCTTGTTGCCCGAGACTTGCAAAAAGCGGCCGCCGTTCTTTGCGGCCCCCGCCATGCTGCATATACGCTGGGGCACTGCCTGTGGTGTTTCGGCCATTTTGCTCTTCTGTTTCTTCTTAACCGCTGCAGCATCACTGACACAAAAAAGCAACGCTTTGGTGTTCGCTGTTGTTTCTTCTGCGGCATCATTGCACCCAAAAACAAACTCTTCCATCATACCATCTCCGTTGTTCATTCCATTCGGCCCTTCCTCTTCATTTGCATGGTGATCCGCATTTGGGCGCTGCTCCTGCTCTTTATTGACTGCCATGCGCTCAACGTCCTTCACAGTGATGGCATGACCAGCGACAGGTGCAGATGCGTCCAGTAACTCAAACTGCTGTGTCATTCGGTGCGGTGCGTTCGGGTCGCTCTTCCCGTGGAAATTCGTCCTCGGGGGTTGCAGGTGCAGTGGTCTGGAGAAGTCAAGGGATTCCTGGACAATGTCTTGAAAGTTATTATTTAGTCCTTTGCAGTTCTGTGGCACATTCATGTCCATTTCGGGGTTCAAGAAATGAAAACGTGTCTCGGGATCTTGCATCGGGACCGCACCGAGGCCCCCCTCAGCTGCAAGGCGGAGTTTGTCGTTTAAACGGCTAACACGCCTCCGTACGACGGCGGCAACCTCCTGCGCGCGTTGCCGCTTGTGCAGCTTCTTCCACTTGGATCGAGAAGATTTTGCCATCACGTGCTTTCTTGCCTCCTTTTATGCTTCCTTCTTTTGCGCCGGCCTCTATTCTCCAATTCAAGGCGTGTATGCATTTTTTTGTTTTGTGTGTGTGTGTGTGTGTGTGTGTGTAAAAGAAAAAAAAAAATAAGCGATGTCAATGCACACAGTAAATGTGAAATTGGGCATTTGAGCCACGGCAACAAAAAACCCAAAAATAATAATAATAATAATTAATAATAATTTGAAATGGGACGTGCCACCGCTGCCAGAGTATCCGCATGTGAAAAAAAAAAAAAAACGTCCGTTTTATTTCGTCGCAGAAAAGCAAAAAGTAAAAAAAAAAAAAAACACGGAAAGTTTTGATAGGGGCAGGTGTAATTATGTGTGTTTGTAGGCGTGAAGTATACATGCATCGGTGTTTGTGTGTGGAAGAAATGAGCAAATAAAAGTTGTGTCGGCGAGCGCAACCCCCCGCTAAAAACGACTGGAAGAAGCGCTCCCAAAACCCCCCCCCCCAAAAAAAAAAAAAAAAGAAAAAAAAAAACAGCCCAAAATTCCGATGGAAATGCACAACTGCCGCCCCGACCTCCTCTCCCTGCAGAGGAATGTGCAAACAAAAAAAAAAAAAAAGGGATGAGGGCGGAGGCCTCTTCTCGACATAAAAGAAAAAAAAAAAAAACGGGAAAAAAAAATTCCCTTAACTCGCCTCACGCCTCACGCATCCCTCACTCTCACACACTCCTGCCCCCTTTCCCTGGCCACCTCACGTGGGCAGCAGAACCCACCAACGTGAGGGGGGGTGGGGTGGCGGGGGGGTGGCGGGGTGGGCATCCAACCATCCCCACTCCCTCAGCGCCCTTCTCGCAAAGGGAAGATGGGCGACAACATCCCAAACAAACAAACAAACAAAAGAAAAAGAAAATTTGACATGCCTTCTTTATCGGCATTTCACATCCAACTCGCCTCCCCTCCCCTCGCCTCACCCCCTCTCATCCGCGGCACATATCGACTTTCGGCAGAAACATCAAACACAAAAAGAAAGAGAAATACACATGACTTTGTTTTTTTTTTTTTCCTTTTTTTTTTTTTTCCTTTTTTTTTCCTTTTTTTTTTTTAAGTGGATCCAACAAAGAAAGTAGACAAACAAACAAACACGGGAGGGGGGGTGGGTGGGTGGGCGGGTGGTACAAAAAAAGTGTAAAAAATGGAATTCTATCACCGCCGCAAAATATATATATGAAAACAACAACACCAACAACAACAACAACATCAAAAAAAAGAAAAAAAGAAAAAAAAAGAAAAAAAAACAAGAACATCAAAACAATGAAAAGGAAATTCAACATAACGCGGCCATTACCTTCAATAAAGCCCCTTCTCTTCCGTACTTCATAAACATGCGCATTTTCTCATTCCCATTTTCTCCACCCAATTCTTCAATTTCTTTTTTCTTTTCTTTTCTTTTCTTTCCGGCTCACTCTCCTCCTCTCAGTATTTGGATTTCTTCTCTTCGGTTTACCTCAAGCATTACTCCCTGCCGTCTTTTTCCCTGCCTCTCGCACTCATTGTGTATGTGAAACAAGTAAATGTATGCATGTGCCAAGCCCACTTCTCAAGAAGAAAAAAAAAAAAAAAAAAAACTGAATAAACTCTTCCCGCCAATCTGGCTCTCTGCTCAGGAAATAAAAAAGCCACACCTCCTCTTTGATATTCCTTCACTTTATCTACACATTCTTCCCACTCTTTGAGTTGTGTTACTTGGGCCTGTTGTTTTTGCCGTGAGTGCCTTCAGTTGACGCTATTTCTGCAACTCTTCCTTCTCCAACATCCTCCCCCTGTCCTCGGTGATGCGGACGCCCGGTACCTCCACCTCTAGCGTTTCTGCTAGCACTACTACTACCACTACTACTACCACTAGTAGCAGCAGCCCCCTCAGATCTATGAGCTGCAGTGGAAATCTGTTCCCGATGCTTTTGCTGTTGTTGACCCTCATTCGAAATTGGAACAGCCAAATTGGACGTGGGAATATCATGGGTAGGCATTCTGGATAATCCGAAGGGTGTTGCAGCAACCGGATATGTCGCTCCGCTTGTATTTTGTTGCTGGTGTTGTTGGTTTTGTTGCTGCTGCCGGAAAACGGCTCCCCCGTGGATTGAGGCGCACAACGCATTAGAAACGGAGTTATCGACGCTACTCTGTAACGCATACATTTGATGTTGCATCATCAATGAAGCATGTGGATGGTGTCCCCAGAACGCCTGTTGATGTTGTTGCCCGCCACTCCTCAACTTCAAGCCATTTTGTTGCTGATGATATTGGTGGCTAAGGCTAAATTGGTGAAGCTGTTGCAACTGCTGCTGGTGTTGAAGAAACTGCTGGTGCTGCTGAACCTCTTGCGCTAAAAAAGAAGAATCTTCAGAATGCAGTCTTTCCTTCACATCGGTGACACCCGGTTGCCGCTCTCTCGTTGAAGGCCCCTCTGGCAATACCGCCATCATCGTATTCTTGGAAGTATTGTTGTTGTTACTGTTCACGCCGTCAACCGCCATACCTTCAGCCGCTGCTGTCGGCTCCTCTAACAGAGCCACAGGCGCAGGTCTTCCCGGCGCCACCTTCTCTCCGGGATTAACGGAGTCGCTATTGCCGCCGCGATGGGCCCCGCCACGCGCGCGCTGACGTGCGCCCGGCGAAGGAAGCCCAGCTCCGCGCGTGTTTCCCTGACGATTGGTTGTGGGGCCGCCCCCCGCACTATTGCCACCACCACCACCACCAGCTGCAGCGGCAGCATTTAGCGCGTCAAAAACCGCACTTTGTTGATAAAACTGATTCATCTCGTACCCAAGGTATGGAAACGGCATCATGTAATTATGATTTTGATAGTGATGATTATGATGATAATAATGCAGCATCGCTTCTGGTGGGTACGGCATCGGAAAGTATAACTGTGACGGATCAGGGTATCCTGCACCGGCGCCGTTTGGAGGAACAAAAAACATGGGAATTGGAGGAGGAAAAGAAAACGGTACTTGCTGGTGTTGGTGTTGGTGTTGCATAGGGTTCGAACGGGAGTGCTGAGCACGCGCATAAACCGCCTCCCCACCCACGGTGCTTACATTCCCGCCCACAGGGGCTCCAGATCCCGTGAGTGAACCGGGCGCCACCGATGCTCCTGCGGGCGTGAGCGGTCGCATCGCAGCCTCCGCCAAGACAGGCTGCGAAGACGACAGCGTCCCAGAAGCAGCAGCGCCACCACCACCAGAAACAACTGCTGATTCCTCTGCTCCCCCCTCGCGACGCTTCATCTGCCGCTGCATCGAAGGCGTAGTCGCCGGCCAACCTCCTGTCATCTCGGCGGTTCCATGTTCCGTAGAAATCGTCTTGCTCCCCGGCTGTGTCAAGATTAAGCCGCCGGAAGAGGGTGTGAGGGAAGTCGTTGCCGAAGGCACATCACTATTGGATTCCAGCGTCGCCCGGTCATCTTTCTTGCGCAGCTCATTGGAGGTGGTACTGCCACTGGTCTTCTGCAAAATTGTATCCCGGCGACGTGTCAGTCGAGTGTCTTTTGGCAGATTTCCCTCCACGCCACTATTGAATGTCGGGTGGGGAGATGAACTTTTTCCATCCCTCCTTTCCACCTCGCAGCGTAACGGCGGTTGCGCGAGTGACGTGCCCCCGCCACCCTCAGAAAGATTTGGCGGAACCGTTGCTTTTTCCTCGTTCTTTGAAAATTGCGTCCCTACGACATCTGCACGCTGCTGCTGATGTTGTTGCTGCTGAATGGCTGCGTGAACTTGCATAAGCTCCCCGAAGGCCGTCTCAGGTGATATCCACTCCAGTACCTCTTGGAGCGTGCAGCCTCCTCCACCGTATCCAGATATCGTTGCCAGTGGAGTCGTGAGAGGAACAAACATGCGGCAAAGCTCCTGGAACTCGCGTGTGTGCAACATGCGCGCGGTGATATCGTATTGGTCGTCAAACGGTGACGTCATGTACAAATGCTGCCCCCGTTGCTGGCATTTCCGAGGCTTTGGCACAACGCTAGAGTTTCCAAGTGGATCAAAGTACAGGCCGTGATTGTCGTAGTCAAATGTAAAACCATAGTAAAAACAAAAGTCATGAAACAAGTGCCCCAACGATGAAGTAGAAAGCAGCCGTAGTGCCAGAGAGCGTAAAATACTAGCTTTGCTATCCGCCGCATCCTCCGTTTCATCCCTTTCTTTTTCCTGCAGGCACCCGCTTCCTCCACCGTCAGAATTTTTGCCCTCGGCTACGTGATTCAATTCTGCTACTGCTTTTTGGTCATCACCGCCATCGTGATCATCAATATTAACATCATTCTCGCCTTGCTCTAAAGTTAAGCCCGGAACCTCCAAGGCCTCACATGCGGCAAAGACCACATCTGCTTTCTGTTGCACCTGCCCATAGGACGCAAGTTCGCCTGAAACAGCATCGTAATCCAATGGCGCCACCAGTTTGGCACCCGTTCGCTCCTTTATGAGGTCTGCCGCCCGATCCTTGCCGCCTTCGTCGCCACTCACAGACACTTCCTCCTCTTCAAGAAATGTACGGATATAATGCAAAATGCTCGCCGTATTCTGTTTGCCGCCCTTCTCCTCATGATAGGGGTGAACTCTTTGCAAAAGCATCATTTCCACCAAGGAGAATCTATCGTCAAAACGTGACCTTTGCTGAGGGGCAGGCAAAGATACGGCAGTTGCCTTCAGAGAAGCCAAAGGCATCGTTGCTCCGGGCGTCGGTGTACTTGTTCCACTGATGTGCACACCGCTAGTAACACCATCGCCCGTCCCGCTGGAGGTCCCTGTCGTTCCCTCATTTCCAGAATTCGTCACCACATTATCTCGATCTTCGCGCTCCTGTTGTTTTTCCTGTTGCTGCTGAAGAATCCCCTCCAGGTGTCGAGAGATTTCGTTAAAAAAGTGTAGTACCATAAGATAGATGGCAAATGAAGTCACACCACCTGGCTGTGAGTCACCTATTCCCATTTGCCTCACACAATGCTTAAGGAACAATATAAGCCCCCTTGACGCCGGGTACCGCTTCAGCAGACGGTTCGTCAGTTGCATCGAACGCCAGTGTTCGCCACCAGCGAAGGTGATGTCGCCCCGCATCTCAGTGGCCTTTTCCGTCACTTTGATGACTGGTACTCGGGTGGAAACGATGGTCTGAACCTGAAAGTAGGGACCTTCAAGCGTCGGGACGTACAGTCGGTGTCCCCCCGCATTGGGCTGATGATGAATCGGCATTGATAAATCTGCCACTATTCCATTTTCTACAAGCGACCGCAGGAGAGGGGGTTGCAGTGGTGTGGCTGCAAACGGACCCATGTAACCTTGAAGCGCCATCGCAGCTTTCTTTGGACCCTGAGAGGGCAAAGAATTCACCATTGCGGCCGATGTGAGCCCCGCTCGTGTACTAAGTAAATAGTCTCGTTCAATCTGAGAACGGTACTCGGCCTCCTCCTCTTCCATCCGCATGATGGGATCTCCAGCATCAAGTTCACCCCCTGGCCCCAACGTGACGTCTTCCAACTCCGCCACAGAAGGAATTGGTGCACCCTTTTCGTCCAACACACCCTCATCAGCGACACCTGAGCTCACTTCAACAAATACATGGGACGACCCTTCACCTGCCGCGCCCGCACTAGTCTCTCCTGTTTCCTCAGACTCCAGCACTTGCAATTCATCTTCACTGATGTGAAGAATAGCCCGCGACAGTTGTTGAATTGCTTGCAACGGTGTAAGCGGTTCGTACCCTACAACCAGTAGATCAATGTCACTGGAAGCGAGCGCAAGGTCTGTCGTAATAGAGCCATGTACTCTTACCTCCGCGTGAGGACCAAGAACCTTTGTCACAACGCGTTGAATGCGGGTAATGAAGTTATGTCTCGCCTGCATATCGGACTCGCAAAGACCTAGACATGTATTCACGTAAATTTGTAAGCTAGACACAAACTCAGGTGTAGGCAAAAAGGGCCAGTGGGAAGAACCAATGGCGGGGGAGACCAGCTTCTGAGTATTTTTTGCCAAGACGGAGCTTTGTTGCAGTTGCTGTGAAGTCAACGCAGGTGCACCGGCGCCAGGACGACCGGGATTGTTGCTACCGCTCTGTGCAACATCTCGAGGGGAGTCTATCGAAGGAAGTGGTAAAACAGATTTCGCATTTCCAGTGGAAGGGTGCCTCTTTGGCGTGACTTGTCGTGCATGTACACAGGAGCTGCTATTCGCCCCATCCGCAGCCACGCCGCTCAAATTAGTGCCCTCGTTCTTATCCTTCTTATTTCCATCTACAAAACAATTCGAGGCTGGTGAGAAGCCGTTAAGCTCACATCTATTTGACTCATCTGTTTGGCCCGTATTCCCCGCGGATTTAATTTGGTGAATAAACTGATTGCGATAAATAAAAGAACCCGCTTTGGCAATTGATGTCTCACAAGCTCGTTCTTGTGACACAGCAAACATATCCCGTGACAAGTAAGCCTTCCTGGGTGATGATGGTGAAGACAGACGGCGTGAATTGGCATTCGCTGGAGTCTTTCTATTCGTTGGTCTAGGAGCATTCATGCCATTTACAGCTTCCATCAGCAAGTCCGTCCCTTTTACGACGTCCTTCGCCCCGCGCTTGACAGCAGCGCCACTACTACCCCGGCTACTATTGTTGTCACTCACAGTGGCAGGAACGTCATCGCCAATACCCGCGTGTTTCGGTTGGGTTTGCGCTGCTGCACCCGTTGCGAACAGCTGCTGAAGCTCTAACGATAACCCAACTCTGTTTCGCTCCGTTTGACTATGTGCATCATCTGAAGTGTTGTATCCGCTTGCGTTAATTGTGGATGAATGCACCAACTCCCCGGGATCCCTGTGTCGTGCGCCGGTCCCTACTTCCTCAACATGCTCTGATGGCGTCAGGGTCGCACGAGGAAGGGAACCGCTAATGCCTCCGGGCAACCAGCACCTCACTTCTTCCTCTCCATCAGCAGGAGATCCGGTTTTCTCCTCGCAACTCGATCCAAAGGGCAATGCAGATGCAAACATCGGCAGTGGTGCACTCGGCACCACCCCTTTCCGGGATGAAAGAACGGACTGGGCCATTCCTTCCTTCCCCGCCTTCCCTGAGCTGCTGCTTTTATCGTTTCTGACGAGAGGCAAGGAAGCGCGTTCCGCCTCCACAACCACTCCCGGCTCATCATCTATCACCATCGACGACGGCCACTCGCACTCCTGTGAAGATTCAGAGTGGGTATCTTGGTTAACAATAACCTCATGGGAAGCGGCAGCCTTCAAATGTGACCGCATGCTGCAAACAGCAGGACTACTGCCGCCAGCACAGTTTGCGGAACACTTGCAGTCGTCTGCTTTTCCGCATCGAGCAGTATTCTGCGCGCCAGGACTCTGGTGCATCCTCTGCCAGTGCTGTCCACACACAAAAAAGGGCCTCTCAAGAGAAACAAGCAAAAAGAAAAAAAAAAAAAAAAAAGTGCCGCGGAATTAAAAAAAATACGGGGGACCGACCGGACACGCCAAAAATGCGTGTGCCAAACCCTAAAAATTCCCCTCCTCAATTGCGACTCCTGCTTTTGCGATGACTCTGTGGCGCTCCTTCTCCCGCCTCCTCTTACTCCCTCTCAATGACTGTTGCTGACCTAAACCTGCTGTATTGTTGCTGTTTTCTCTCTCTCTCGCTTATTATTATTATTCCTCCAATTTCGTTTTTACTCCTAATTCCCTTTTCTTTTTTCTTTCTTTTTCTCTCTCCCCTTTCACTATTAGTCCTTTTCTCTTCTTCCCCTTCTGCTGTTGTTGCGCTCTTTTCCTGTGCGCGAGTGTTTACAGTGGACAAACAACCAAGTATGCAAAAAAAAAAAAAAAAAAAGAGAGAGACAATTGTATTATGTGTGCTTGTATGCCACTATTTGTGACTTTTTCCTTGCTATTGAAGCACCAACAGAAAGCCGCCTTTGCAGCTGCCTCCTCTTCAGTGACCAACAGGGACATGATATACACAAAGCGCAGAGAAAAAGAAAAAAAAAAAAGAATTTTGTGATATAAGTGGCCATCCTGCAGCAGTGTTTTGGCAAAAATGAATAGAGAAGAGAAAAACAAACACACACAAAAAAAAAAAAAAAAGAAAAAAAACTCTGTTATGAGTGGTTCAGAGTGGCGTGGGATGATCAGTTATTCGCGTTGTTCATGGTGCTTTTGAAGAAGCCATACATGGACTGAGCCATCTCCACCATCTCTTGCCATTTCTCTGGAAGCACGCTGGCCCTTATTTCGTTTGCTGCAGCAACAGCCATCAAATCCGTGTCGCCGTGCTGCACCATCAGCTGAAAGAGACGCCCCACAGAAGCTTCAAAACCCAGTTGGGTTGCTGCTGCAGTAGTATCCACAGCAACTGAAGGAAACGGATCAGAGGCCAAGGCGGATGCTGGTGTTGAAGAATTAATAACAACAGCAGTTGTCGCAGGAGAGCCAATGCCCTCGGCAACGTTACTCAACGCAGTATTTAAAGGCGCATTGCAACGCTGCTCCGGGTTGTATTGATGCAGCTGACCCAAGTGCCCATTGTGTGAGTGGCCGTGGCCCCCGTTTTCATGGGAGTGACAATGGCCGTCATGGCACGATGAGAGCTGCAATGCCTGATGACGTTTGGCCATTTTTTGAAGTCTTACGCTCATCACTGGCATCCGATAAGAGATGTTCAAGAATTTTTCGCGTAAGAAAAAAAAACCGCAAACGTTCCTCCAAAAGCCGGCATCAAAAAGAGAATATGTACGTGATCCCAACTGAAAGCACCACGGGCAGCGTGACGGTTGCGCCACATCGTAGGTGGTGACACCCCGCGCTATATACCACAATTGCTGCAGCAGAGTATACAGAGAGAAGATAAAGGCGACAGGCAGGACAAACAAGATGTAGACATTAGCAAAACGTCTAAAATGTGGGTCATCAAAAAACGTCTCGCTGCTCATCTGGTTCGGCGATAGCCAGTAAGTGCTGCGGCAACAGATCCCAAGGAGAACCGTGTAAAATAGAAGAAAGGCGATATACAAGCGATGATTCCCCCCACCAATGGCACTTGCCAGCCACGTACAGTAATGGTCATACCGAAGCACCACGCGTCCGAGATGACGACAGCGCTGGGCCCGTAGTGGCTTTTTAACCATGCAAGAAAGATCGATGCCTTGTCGAACATCCTCCGGTGGTGCCCCTTTTGAGTAAAAAATTGTTTTGTAGATTCCAACCCGCTGTCCATCGGTAGAATCCACTATCCCAGGGTTTATCCACATCACTAAAAAGGCACACAGAGCGCTCCCGATAGTGCATAGAAAAAGCCACGGTCGAGTGTTCATGCGCCGTGGCTCCATGGCATCCTCCAAAGAAATGCTGCAAGCGAGTAGCACCAGGGTGTAGCCAACAAGGAACCCTACACAGCGCAGGGGCCTCACGTTCAAACGGCGTTCATCTTTCACCTTAAAGCCGTTGCATAAAATAAGTTCAATGGTGGCAAAAACAATCAAAATCCATAGCGGCATTCCCATCAACGCACACAGAGCCATTAAAAAATGTGGCAACGCTGCCGCTGCCCCAAAAGAGAGAATGTCAGAAATGGTGTTGAGTCTCCACAATGAAGTATCGGCCGCTGCCTCGCGTTGTAGATTTGCCTCTCGCTTCGCAGATGACGCCTCCTTAGAGTGGGCGTCCAAGATTGTGTATACCTTCCACGGATCAATATTCTTCGCCGTCCTACCGTTGCGTTGCGTCAGCCCCAAAAAGCTGCACTGAAGCCGAATAAAGGATAACAATGATGTTAACAATGACGGTGATGATGACATTGCACAGTCCTTTGCCAACTGAATTGGCGTCCTTCCTGTAGCGTCTGGCTTCTCCACATCGGCACCCTTCAGCAACAACGAACGCAGAAGAAGCGTATCGCCGACAAGCACCGCGCAGTGCAGCGGGGTAAGTCCTTCCTTCACTATGACTCCGGAGTGTGGTGCTGAATCACAGCGCTGAACAGCAGCAGCAGCAGTAGCCGTATTCGCCTCAATTGGACGATAATGATGATCGCCATCATGGACACCAGTAGTGGCAGCGGTTTCACCCTCACGCACATTCACGTCGACTCCCAGCTGCTCGATGAGAAAAAGAGCGGCAAACTCTGCACCGCGTCCCTGTCGGCACACCATGTGGAGGAGGTTCTCTCGTGCCGCCTGAGCGGGAAGGTCATCGATCCACGAGTGAAGCGTTTGAAGCACATGCGGATGGCAAGCAGCATGGTGAAGCACTGTGTTTCCAATGTCATCACGAAGTGACGTGTCTGCACCGCGCGAAAGGATGATCCGCAGTGCACTTATGTTCTGCGTAGCCGCAGCGATCATAAGCGGCGTCTCACCAGTCGCATTGCGACTATTTATGTCGGCTCCATTGTCAATAAGAAATGAGATAATTAAATTGTTGGGACCTTCCGAAGAGAGCAAAACGGATTCATCGTCGTCATTGCCCGGCGTGGGAGCAGCCCGCGAAACGGCAACATGCAACGGCGTTGCACCGTTTTTGTCCCTCACATTAATGTCAACGCCACCTAACAGAAATGCAGTGACTATCGCAAAACCACTATCGTTCCGAAGTGACTCGTGAAAGGTCCGATTCCCTAACTTTGCTGTGAACACGTCAACAGGCGGGGCCTCCTCCGCTGTCGTTAGCTCAGACTGCATGAAGTACGTCAATGGCAACGTACGTCCACCACGTGACGCCATCCGCGCGCCAAACACCTGCATCTTGATGCGAACTCCAACTTTTATATGTACTTTATCGTAAGCACTGTGTTCCTTTGCCCGAATGCGAATAAGGCGTGATTCCACTTAAAAAGAAAAAAAGAGTACATAAAAAAAGGAAAACATGCTGCTAAAAAAAGTAACAACAATAAATAAATAAATAAATAAAATTAAAGCAGTAATAACAACTATCAGCGAACACCAAGGCAAATATTGTAGAAACAAAAACACCATTGGCACTCTTACGCCTCCTCGTCCCTCGGAGACATCTTCGGCTTGGCAAAAGCACACATTACGGCCTCCACAATAGTCCGCAGTTTGGCCTCCGCGGCGTCCAACAACTGCCGCTGCGCATTCAGCGTCGCCTGTGCCGCAATCAAAGCCCGCTGTAAGGCCTCAACTTTGGGCTGCGGTTGCGTACTGGTCTCCGCCCCCGTTGTGGTGCCGATGGGGTCAAAATTGGCACCAGCGCTCTCTTCCGACTCCTTCTTCATTGCGCCGTCGCCTTCCTTTGCCTTCGTGGCCTTTTCAGCGGCCCTCAGTGCCTCTGCGGTGCGCCAAACCTCCCGCGCCGCGTCCATGGCGGCTGTAAATGCCGGGAGAAGAAAGTGATACACTGCGTGTTCCAAACCGAGAGGCTGTAGAGGGCCATCCACGAGCAACCGCTGCAGTCGCACGATATCTTCCTCCTGTGGCAACTGTCTCGTTTCGCCCTCACCTGTCTCCTTGTCGCTCTCCCGGGCTCTCTTCTGCTGCCGCCGTACGAACACTGGGGCAGCCTCACCGACTAAAAATGGCGCCCTGTTGGCTGCTTCCAACAAGAACGTCTCGAATGTGCGCATTACAGCAGCCGCAGCTCCGCCTCCCTTTCCTCCTAGGAAGACACAGAGAAAATAAATAAGAAATAAAAATAAAAATACCAGCCATAACAGTAAAAAAAAAAAAAAACGCAAATAAACACAGCAATACTGGTAATGGCAAATAAATAATGGCACGGAAGCAAAAAAAAAAAAAAAAAGCAATTAACAATAGCAGCAACAAGATACAGCGGGCGATGCGGAGAAAGCAAAGCACACGACAACCCAAATGACAGAGGCTCAGAATAACAATAATAATAAAGAAAAAAAGAGCACCACCAGCCGAAAGTCCAACTAGTTAATAAGTCTTTATGCCACACCACACAGTTATCAAGGCGGTGCGTTAAGACTCACAATTTATATTTCAGTCAGAAAGCATAACCAAATCCGGAATCAGTCGTCGGCGCACGCAAAAAAATGTCATTTTGCAGTACACTTAAGTGTTCCATGGGAAACGGTACATTTAAAAGTACTGACTTCTTCCATGCCGTTGCATCCTCCGTACTTTCTGAAGACTGAGGCTGACGGGGGGACGGGCTACGATCACTTCTGCTGCTATTGCTGCCACCCGTTTTGCCGGTGCATTCTGGTGGCGGTGGTAGCGCCCCTGCCAAGCTAAAAATACTTTGTGCCCCCCGGATTGCACCGTCTCTCTTCGAAGCAGGCCGCAAGAGTGCAAGAATGAAGATACATGCGTTTCGAATCATACGTTGGACAGCGGTTGCAGCCTCCTTCTGTAACAGCAACGCATTATTGCATGAGAAGTTCGCTACTTTTTTTAGAACCGGTTCCAATTGCACTTTCACCAGCTTCTCTGTGCAGCGCAGTTCCACAGTATTCAGCAAGAGAACATCGCCATCGACCTCTGTTCTTGGCCACTCGTCCACCACCTCCTGAACAACACCGCGTTGCATACGGTCAATGAAAGCACGACGACGGGACAACTCGATCTCTCGCACAATGCGCAATGCAATCGTGGCGCCTCCATTGGCAGTGGTCACAACAAATAGTCGAGGTTCCCATTTTCCCAAGAGAACTGCTTGTGGTAGTGGTCTGTTAGTTCCAAATGTAAATGGGACAACGACAGTGTGATGAAACATCTCCAAAAGACCATTGGAGTCCACTGGAAGCTGCGAAAGAGAGTTTTTTTGGCCAATATTCTTGTGTGGCTGCCCGGTATTGTGAGGAAGAACCGGCAGGCATGAAAGAATAGGCGGCTGGTGCAGTAGTCGTTGAATGGCGTCACGCTGCACTCCCGTACTCGCCTCGTCTTTTTTCGTGAGCATCAGCTCCACGTCTTCATGAGCAACGGGGACACTGTCAGCTAGAGCCTTTTCCATCACCTCCTTCTTGGCGTGTTCACCCAAACGCTTCCACAGCATCCAACAGGTCCCCTCAAACACCTCATGGTGAATGTAGTAAATATTGCCGTTGCTGCCCGATGCACTGCAGCCGGGTCCCGTCTGCTTAGAAACCGGTCTCGGCGTAAAGTCATGCACCGTCAAGTAGAAATTGTTAAAGGCGGAGAGCCCAGCGCGTTGCATGTGAACTGGCATCAGCGGATAAACAAACCAACCAGAGAGCGAGCAGACGCCAATGCCAGTGCTCTCCTCTAATACCGGCATTGTGGCAACGGAGAGGGAGAACTGCAGATGCCGACACCCACGCAAACGCAATTGGGCGCAGCAGCATACAATGACGCAGTGACGGCAACGCTCCAGAAAGACAGAGCCACTTGTGGGCCCAATAAAGATAAAACAACGCTCGCACCCATGTACGGATACACTATCGCAGTGGTCTAAAAGTAGAATGGCACAGTAAGAGTTCTCATGCACCGTGATGCGCTGGCCGCGGACCTCACCAGGCAATCGAAGAAACATAGAGTGTGGCGGTAAATTGGCCGCCTCAAATATTGGTGCCCTCTCCCGCAACCGCGCGGCTTCCTTCACCGCCTCCTCGCCGTATTTCCCGTTAAAAAACGAGGCTGACGCGGGGTCAAACAACAGAGGCGCCGCTTTCCACGAAAAGAAAAGACGTGCGTTGCCCACATTTCCATTGGCCTCATCGTTTTCGCCCAGTACGGCGGACGGTCTATTTTTTTCCTCACGTTTCCGCTGCGGCCTTCGCCTCCCGCGCGACTTCTTCGAAGTGACGTCTTGCGCCGCATTCAAGCTGCTGGCACACGTGCCCATTGCGCCCCTCCCCCACTCCCCCTACCGCCGTTTTTCTCTTCCACCCACACCAAAAGGAAAAAAAAGAAAAAACACAAAAAAGTAATCCACGCAGTGGCCGGTTGTTTGGGCGGCAGGATGTGAGTGCCTGAACACCACAAACACACACAAAAAAAAAGGGTAAAGCACCGACAAAAAAAAAAAAAAAAAAAAAAAACAGACAATTTAGGACAAAAACAAGCAACAAAGTCGGCAACTCGCATGCAGCACAAAGTTCCCCCCACCAAAAAAAAAAAAAAACACTGCAAAGAACACTACGATTTAGAGGGCCTAGTCGCTCCACCAAGCCACTCACAGCCTTCTTCATTCTTCCTTCAGCCCTTTCACTTCTTCTCAACTCAGACGATTCACATCGTACTCACACACACACACCTTTTATCCTTTTATCCTTTCTTCACCACCGTACGCCTTTCTGGACTTTTTCCAAGCTTACACCGCATTCTGCCTGCGGTGACATGATTTACTGGTGATGGCGGAGGTGGCGGCTCACCAGACTACATCAACATGCAATATTGTTTCTTTTTGTATTTGGTACTAAATGGCATTGCGATCTCCGCTGCGGCGGCTCCAGGAAAACGGTGTGGCAACCGCTGTGGACGTGAGCCTGGCGCCATTGCCTCCGCCGTGCCTTCTCCATGCAAAAATTGACGATGCTTACAGAACAGCAGAAATTCATAAAGGTTAATATAATTTTTACTTGTCCTGGCAAAAGAACAAAAAATTTTTTGAGCCTCCGCCTCGGTTTTGGCGTAGCCATTGCTGAGGCACAAATTCCTAAAGTCTTTCCAATCCAGAAAACCACGTCCCTCAAGATCGTAACCACGAAACTGCAAGAGAGCCTCGTTGTATTCAAACCGTGATAATCCGCAAAGCGCCTGTGGATTGGGGCGATGTTTCCCCAGCCAGGCACATAAATCTTGTATCATGAGCCCTCCTGTCTCATCGCAGCCCATCTCAAACAGCATGCGGTCAACATGTTCATCCCGGTTTACGTAATTCAAGGAAAAAGCAAGTTGCCTTAGCTGCGAACGTGTCAGGAAGCCTTTATTTTCTGTATCAAACACCATGAAAAGACTCACAATCTGATCGTATTCCATCTGCGTGAGACCATACTTTTTCCACTCTTTATCATTACTTGATACATGCTGATACGCAAATCCATTATTGGCCCGACTCATGTTACGCGCTTCGGGCGACAAATGCATTCCCCCCGAGTGACTCGACAATCTACTCCGGTGCTCGTCAGATTCGGACGTATTATTCGTGCTTGCAGGAACTTCCATTTTTTCCGATGGCGGCTGTGGATGGCACGTGTGATTCTGGCTCTGTTCACGTGTACCCTTCCAGTTGCACCGCGTGCACTGTACCTGAACTTCGAGTGCCTTGTTCACAAGAACTCGATTAGGACGTTCACTTTGCTCCACGGCACAACTGCAATTCGGGCATACAAGCGCCACTGGGCGCTCACTACCAGGCAAACAAGACGACCCGACAGAGCGACACCAGTATTCACTAATACAAGACTCGCAAAAGATGTGGCCACATGGCCCCAGCTCTATCGGCCTGTCCCAAGAGTCCTTGCAAAGAAGACAAACAATCACCTCATCTACCTCTTGACTTTTTATGAACTGCCGGTATTGCGTCATCTAAAGGCAAAAACACCCATAAAATATGTCCCCAGTCACCAGGAAAAGTCCTAAAAACGACAACGACGACAACAACAACACCAAAAACACGGCAGGATAAATGGATAAAAGTCACAAAAAGTCTTCTAAAGGAGAAGATGGAAGAAAAAGAGATGAAAAAAGGGTTAAAAGAAAAATTTAAAAAAAATATATATATTTGCTCCACACGAAGATGTACACATGCAACCTTCTCCGCACACACAATGTCTACCAGTTATCTGTGCACCTGTACGAAGCAAGCGCACCACCAGTCCCCGGCACTCCCTTCAATTTCCTTATCGTTTATTTACATGTCACCTCTGGCAGAATTCTTTTTCACATGCCATCCCCTCCCCCGCTTTCTCCCTTCTCAGGGACGAAGAAGACTGCAGCACGCATCCATCACCTCATGTATTTTAGGATAACTGGGATGTACCTCCAGTACTTTGCGGCACACATCAATTGCCGAGACTATCTTTCCCGACTTCATCCGATGAAATGCCAGTTTGTACCCCACCGATGGGTCACGCTCCTTCGTAAGTTTCCAGGCATTCTCGTAGCACTCGGCAGCCTCGTCATGACTCATCCCAATTTCGTGCACGGAACCCATCATAAGCCAAGTCTGAGGACAACTCTTGTTGACCTCAATGTTCTTTTGTAGAATACCCTGCGCCATCTTGAGATCTTCTCTGAGGATGCTCATGTGTGCAGCAAGCAGGCGAGCACGGTGAACTGCATCGATTGTGATGGGGTCAAACGGCATGTATACAATCCGCTTGAGTTCGGCGGCCGCCTTCTTCTCAAGACCCGCGATGAAGTACGCTATGGCCAAACCAACACGGACAGGGACATTCAGCCGGCCAGAAGCCTGTGGTGGTCGGTTGGCATCACTCAGCAGTCGTTCATCCTCGTCTTTCTCCTCTTCCTTGGCATCCTTTTCATCATTGAATGACCCCTGGTGCTGTTGCATCGTCTCACTCGTGGCGCAAATTTGCTTAAACTCCTTTATAGCCCGCTCCACCAAGGATCGCTTTTTGCTTGCCATCCAGCAATAACCCTGAAGAATATCCCTCGACTCCCCGTCGGGCATTTGAAGCAACAACCGCTCCGCAATCCTAACATTTTCGTTCTTATCCTCATCTCGCAGAACGGTGTCAACCCACAGCTCCTCGTTGGATGAAAAGAGGTACATCTCAATCATGTTCGTCAATGCGGGTATACTCCACGGGGAGTCATCGACAGGAAGCCGTGCGGCATTAAAGGCTCGGAGAGCCTCTAGATTCTCGTAGCAATAACGATGGTACAACCCTCGCGCAAAGCTCAATCCCGATGGATGTCGCTGACCCAGCGGCAAGAGCTCCTCCGCTCGTTCAAGTACCTTCTCTGCGTCACCAAGGCGTCCGGCATGGCGCAGCAACCGCACATATTGCACCAACGCCTTGTAGTTGTCCGGGGTTTCATCCAAAATTTGACTAAAGTGTTGGGCCGCATCATCAAAACGGTGCTGGCGAATCATGACATCTGCAAGTATTACAACCGCCTCCTCGGACTTGGGGCTAATACGAAGAACGGCATTGCATTGCTCCTCACATGCAGTTGCGTCGCCACCATCAAGAAGTAACCGTGCAATTGCCAGTAGAACTTCTTCGTTTGATTCATCGTACATCCTCGCCTCTTGGTAAAATTCCTTTGCACGTTGTGCGTCGCCGATAGAAGCATAATATCCGCCCAGTTCAAGCGCAATGGTTGCAGCGACAATCTTCTGCTGATAAATCGTCTCTTGCGTCTCGCTGCGCATCATGTGGTGCAAAACATGCTCCTGAAAACCGCGCGCTCGAAGCAGTGCTTCAGTCGCAGCATCTGGCTTCTGGGAGTCCCGGTAAATCTTGCACATGAGCAGTGTACAGTTGACGCGCTCAATAGCACGCTCGACAGTTTCCCCAACATCCGGTTCACTCTGATGCGCCGGAGCCTCTGTCAGCAACGAAATGGCGTGATCTGGGGCACCGAGGCGCCAATAGAGCGTCGCAAGATCGGCAAGAACAGTAAAATTTACCCCATCTGAAGCAACCGCGTCACGGTAGTAGCGAACGGCACGTTGATAGTCATGCGTTGACACAAGTGCGCGTCCGATACGGACGGCCAACTCGGCGTTTTCTGGGTCCATCGCTTTTGCTCTCTCGTAGGCAGCAATGGCTTTCTCTGTTTCACACCTCGGCATTTTCTGCATGTGGACAGCGCTCCCATTGGCCGCCTTCTGTGACACGAGAGCCACC